ATATAAGTTCTGAGTTTAACATGAAGACAAAAGCTGTGTCTCACTTCTTGGGCTGCATCCTCATGAGTGTGCATACATCACTGTCCCGTGCCGAGTGCTGTCCCAACTCCAAGGCTTCTCCTCATGCGGCCCACAACATCTCAAAAATCAAGGATGCATCCGAGTATCCTTCCCGGCAGAGGATATCCCAGGATTCAATGCGCTGATATTGAACTAAACAAAGTAATGAAGACGGTGGAGTTTTAAATATTTTTTTTTACCAAGTCTGCATTGTTTGGAAATACATCACGGACCGAAGAATTTGTTTATAAATATAAGTTTAACAATGTAGCTGATGAAAATCATGCTGCAATAAGATGTTAAATAAAATGCAACTACAAGTACTGATACTGGAGCTAAACCCAAATTATTGATGTTTTTATTTTTTACTTACGTGTAACGTTTTAACTGTGAAGTTATTCTTCCAGTGAAAAGGTGTAGATAGATAGCTAGCTAGCTCCAGAATGGGATTTGTCTTTGCGGGGTCTTGGCAAGGTTTTCAGGCCTCGATAAGGTCCACAATGGATTAAAACAATCCAACCTTTGTTGCATCACAAACTGATTTCATACGAGACAATTTCCTCAACATCAGTGAGGGTAAAACCTTTACCGCAAAATGTTTTTTTTTTTTTTTGTCACAAACACTCAGATTTCAGTAAATTTTTAGTGGAAAAATTCATGTATTTTCTTGCAATTTTCTCAAAATTTTGAATCATTAACTGAGCTCCCAACWGTCACAGCACCACCGTAAGGAAACGTGCCAGGAGTTCTATATTTTATTTCATATTTTGTGTTTTTCTGGAAKCTTCTCTCTGAAATTTAAAGGGGATGTACTGTTTCACGCAAAATCCACTCTTCAGTTGTTAAATACATTTTGTTGGAGTCTCTAGGAGACAGAAAAGTTGAATTTAGTTTCTCCCGGTGCTGCGTATATATCTTTATAGTCTGTTTGGGTCCGTTTTTACAACCTGTTCAGTTTTCTCTGTTTTCTATGATGGTTTCTGATCTATTATGCCACCKTATTTGAAGCCCCTCATTTGGATTTCAAGAAACAGCCTCAAAACGAGTTGATCTGAGACACAACTCARAAGAGGGGCTTGTGGAGTTACAATAAGGAGCAGTTCCACTTTATGTAGATCTCAACTGAAGGATTTAAATGTGACAAAGGAGGATTTAAAAGCACAATATAAAACAAAGTGTCCCTGCGTTTAGAAATGTTTTTATTTGAATATTATTCTCCATGAAGTCATGCCTCTAAAACCATCAAACTCCTTTTTACTAAACCAAACATTAGACTTATATTTAACATAACTTTTACTCGATAAACCCACTAAACCACACGGCACTGACGTGCACGTTTTCTTCATGCTGCTCATATTTGTGAGCTGAGGTTTGCCCTCCGTGTGTGTTTTTATTTTCCTGCTGACCTCTTTCAGAGCAGAGGAGGTGGATCACACGTCCACTGACAGGCGAGCATAAAAAACTACGAGATGAGAGAAAACTGTAACTGAGATGAAACGGCAGACAGAAAGAAGAGTTAGTTGTGAAACGTTTGACACTGCCAGAGAGAGGAGAGAAAAAAAACACTTTTTTATTGCTTTTGGAAAACCGGCATAAAACCTGATCTTCTTTTAGACTTCGCCACAGAATAAACCAAGGAGACGACAAAAGCTATGAGTTATAAAATGAAAAGTTTTGAACGCTGAGACCGCCACCTCAATAAAAAAAAACCCAACACAACACTGGAATAAAATGAGGGGCGGACAGAATGAAGAGGAACGTTGATGGAAGAGGGGTAGGGGGTTGAGGTCAGACAGCAAAGCCTTTCCATTTAGCCAGCGAATTGTTGAGCCATGAAGCATCCCTTGCTTTTACTGGCAGCCTGAGTTCTGACCACACCACAGGGAGCAGGGGTTACACTACATTTGTGGTCAGAGCGGAGGCCATCTGTGTGTCAGCGTGAATTAGTGTGTGTGTGTGTGTGGGGGGATGCTCTGAATGTATGCATCAACAACAGCATGCTTTTAAATGACTCAGGGGAGATGCAGTGGGAAGTATTAGTCAGTTTGAGAAGTTACATTTCCGACA